GGCGCAGTCAAAATTTAATGAACAATTTTGCATCCGTATTTAAAAAGCTGCACTATATACTGTAGCATTAAACGATAGCTTCTAGGTTTATATAAAAATGTACTTACGTCGCTATGCTATTAATATTTGAATATGTTTTTATTCACATGAGGGGTACATATTTGAATATGTTACATAAAATTAAAAGTCTCCACATTTCTCCACCTAATCAGACTACAACTATTTAAGAAAATTTCTATTTCATACATACATCGGGTGCAATCATAAATAACTTACTTCGCATGATTGAAAAATTATCGAATGACTATGTGCTAACAATAATACTGAGAATGGTTAAATCGAGTAACAATAATTAAGTCTAATATATTAATTGGAACGAGAATAATAAAATATTCTCCATTGACGTGAATACAAGTTATTACTTGTGTGTTATTACACGGATATTATTACCGTTTCAACGAATACCGGATTCGTTCAATTAGAAAGGAAATAGCTCGTATCGTTTTCAGCATTACGAAATGCGGTGAAAGAATTCTGGCTTCGCAAGAAAAGCAGGACACAATGAATTTGGAGATTTGTTCGTTTCTCGTCCACGTCTCGTTCGATATAACAAATGGCTTGCTCTCGTAAAGACAGCTGCTCCCATGAATAGTCATTTGTTTTTACTATGATAAGATAATACGCTCCTAACACCTACTTGTTCTTGTTAAGGCACATTTACGAACAACGAGATACACGCGAACGCGTGCTTGCCCGGAACTACGCGAGCCTAGTTTCGACTTTGTACAGCTCACATAGTAACGCTTTCGCACATATATTTTGTGGCTAACGAAACAAAAAAAAAAACGTTTGATTTAATACAATAAATACGATAAGTGACTAAACGTTAAATTAGCGTTTCCTTTAAATACTACTGCAGCGCGTTACATGCCTATGCACGAACGAAGCACACAGGCTCTTTAGTGGACACTACGGCTGCGGCAGCCTGTGATACGGAGTACAATTGTTCAGCAGACTGCGTGACGCTGTACAACGAGGGCGTGGCAGAACGCTGAAGCCGTTGATAAAGTAATTTAAAAAAAGAAAGCAAATGCCTCGTTCCTTCGATAGTAGGTAGTTCCACGTGTTTCTGCCGACAGGAAAGATTACGTTACGACACAATACTCGCCGAGTAGAATCGACGAAAATCATAGCATCTTCGCAACTGAGATAGTTACAGCCTCTATGTCTCGCCTTGATAGCTTTATCAGAGTTTCGAAGATTCGTTCGTTTATTATTAGATCATTCCTTTATCTATTCAGAAAAGCGAACAATAATCAAACTATAAATAGTTGTAATACGTTCCATTCGATGAATGGAACTGAACTCAACGTTAACACGTTAGGTGCCGAACATCTTCGGCCCCCAGAAATTCCCACGATATCAATAACCGAAACTAGAAAGTTCGAATTTACTGTAGCAAACATCAGTTTTTACCCTTCCGTGTTCTAAAAATTCTAGCAACATTCAATTCGTTCAATGTATCAAATTCAAGAGCTAGTTAAAAATTAGTGTCACCAACACGTGACCGACCCAGCAGTATTTTCTTAACACGTTCCGTGCCGAGCTTTTTTTACTCGAATCTTCACACTTTGATATTTTACTAAAACTTGATGTATTACGTGCAATTATTAATTCTCGTACACATAACAACGTAACAAAAACTTATCAACGCCCATTCTTGCGGTGGAAATTGATTCTTCGGTTCTAAATTTCTTGTAAACAATTTGTTCAGTTCACTAAGTAAACATGCAAGCGTGTACCATCGATGGTACACGTGGCACGGAACGTGTTAACGAAGCGTCGGTGCAACGAAAGAAATTTCGATGTTCGAAAATATTCCGAGAGACATTCTGACGAGGTCCATTGATTTTCTAAACCGCTCATTCGCCGATTCAACCGCGTACAATTTGGCACGCTTCAAATGAACCGCATTTGATACTATCAAGCAGTTAGACGGAACCCATTTCCTGAATAGTATGATTTGACGTGGATTAGAGACAAATCGCGCCGCGGATGACCCCCTTTTTTTCTCCTAATGCGATTTCACGCGTACCGACCGCGAAACGAATAGAACCGCCGAAGGGGAAATAGTTAATACAACAGGAAACGGCAGACGGTTTTGAGTTCTTAATACGCGACAGTGGCATAAAATTTTGCTTCCTTCCCGAAGTAGCTTAGCACGCTGCTTCGAGGTATAGTGTAGCCGTTAGTGCTCGAGCTGCCGCGTAACCTGTTCTCATTTTTATCGTCAGCATCAGGTTTCAGCGCAGGTGAGCCGCGAAGGTGCTGAGCCGAGTCCAGCGAACCAGCTCGTAGTTCTCGAGCATTTCCTTCCCCTTCGTTGTAGAAACGCATTGACCTTCGAGTCAGGATATCGCCGATCGATGCAAACGTTGTCGCATTATCGTTATACGATGGTAAAACTAGAATTATGCGTCTGCGTAACAACGGGCGACGACTTAAACTAATTGCAGGAGCAAGCGGCGTGAACCCTTGCTGAAATTCGAGACCACACTTTAGGGTCGGCCTGCTTCCCTCCACGATTACGACGGACAGAATACCGAAATGTGCGTACGGTGATCTATCCAATGAATGAACGCCCTACAGAGAGTGAACGTTCCCCGCATTACACGCAAAAGTAACGTTTCTGCATCGTTTTCACATTATTTGATAGATACAGTGGTTCTGTTATACACCTACAGGTGTCTCGCAGATGCCATTTTGTTTCTGTGTACAATTTGTTTCACATATTCTTTGTTTAACATTAGGCTTATGGAGCACTGGAAGCAACTATTTCATATTACTTTATAAAAGTGACGATAATTTATTTATTCGGATTTTTGACATTTTTATTTGAATATTTCTCGCAAGTAACAGTGAGTAAATTCCTCGTAATTGATGTCTTTATAATCTCAATAATCGTAAATTAACAAATTTGCATCCCGTCATTATGACGGGGTCGATCTAATGTTAATTAGTAGTTGTATTAACGATATCCAATGCATCCAAGGGCTATGCGTATCGCCATTTGAAATTTATAATTTATATTTTAAGATACGTTCCAATAAATCTATTTAGGAAGCAACTATTTCATATTACTTTATAAAAGTGACGATAATTTATTTATTCGGATTTTTGACATTTTTATTTGAATATTTCTCGCAAGTAACAGTGAGTAAATTCCTCGTAATTGATGTCTTTATAATCTCAATAATCGTAAATTAACAAATTTGCATCCCGTCATTATGACGGGGTCGATCTAATGTTAATTAGTAGTTGTATTAACGATATCCAATGCATCCAAGGGCTATGCGTGTCGCCATTTGAAATTTATAATTTATATTTTAAGGTACGTTCCAATAAATCAATGATTTTTGTACAATATCATTCGATGCGGTATTATCGTTTATTTGTTAATCATTTTTGTTCATTCATTGGTTGGACACATTTTTCACTAAATCTTATGTTACACATTTAAACAAAGCTCGCGATAATGTCGTCCAGGATATTAAATAACGATTTATGGATGATTATTTTAACACATGTGCAGCTGAAGTGTTCATTCTCTAGACAGGTCACACTACCACTCGATAACCTCGCTCAATATATTCTACGATATAAATGTTTAACACGTTCCGTGCCGAGCTTTTTTTACTCGAATCTTCACACTTTGATATTTTACTAAAACTTGATGTATTACGTGCAATTATTAATTCTCGTACACATAACAACGTAACAAAAACTTATCAACGCCCATTCTTGCGGTGGAAATTGATTCTTCGGTTCTAAATTTCTTGTAAACAATTTGTTCAGTTCACTAAGTAAACATGCAAGCGTGTACCATCGATGGTACACCTGTCTCTTATACACATCTAGATGTGTATAAGAGACAGGTGTACCATCGATGGTACACCTGTCTCTTATACACATCTAGATGTGTATAAGAGACAGGTGTACCATCGATGGTACACGTGGCACGGAACGTGTTAATCGACAATTCAAAAATTAAACTTATTGCTCTGTTAGAACGCTTTACCTACCGGGCATCTGGCAATAGACTTCTCAGTGATTATATGATATGAAAAATAAGTATGGTCCTCCCAAAACATTTTGCTAGATTATGTTCGTGATTATACTTACTTGATAATGGAAATTGCTATTGAAGAGTTCATTGAGATAGCAAGAAATTAAATGTAGATCGTTCATTTTTTAAATTGTTAGATAACCGCCGGTTAGATTAGAACTACCATACTGGATAAGCAAAGCGTTGAATCAATATTCAAGTTGACAGAAATTGTTATGTTACTTATGCGTAGAAAATATTATGTTACTTTATTCTATATTTTGACCCTAGAACTGCCGAACTTTGAACGCGCGATTAATGTATATTGTTTTAGAACAATGACAAGATTAGATTTATTTAAACCTCGTACGATTTCTATTTATAATATATAATAATAAACATATGCAATATATTATATTAATTCTAATACAATATAAGCTTGTACAAAGAAGTTCGTCTAAAAAAATTTCCTAAAAACATTTTTATAGTATTAGGAATTGTAAAAGGAAGCCATTTTGGCTGGTTTCGTAGTTCTAGTGTTAGTAGAAAATTTTGATGTAAAATGAAACACGTTAGAGTTATATGCAGTTGTCAGTCGTGTGACGAATACTATCATTGCATGATATCAGAAACTAATGACAGCTAATCTTATTTCCTTTCAGTTTCAAGCTGATAAAAATGCGCATGACATAAATGACTAATAATAAATCAAATACAGAAAATGCGTAGAATTATAGTATTATAAATTACTAATCGCTGACAATAAAGGGGATCACAGAAATGATAGAACATAGACACGGTTTTATTATTGTCTATAAATACAGAAACGCGAACAGAAATAGCTCTTTCCCAATTTTTAAATTCTTATTCTTATAGATCAATTTATAAAAACCAAATCTCGGGGATTAATGGAGTTGAAAATGAAAACGAAATCTTATGTTTTCTACTTCATTTTATGTTCATAGTATTTTATAATTCTACCAAATAGTAATAGTGAAGAAATGTAAATTCACAGTTAGTTGTTAGTTGTTAGTATTGTCTCATGCGTAGACTACGGATGTTTTGCATTTGTTGAAATATAAAATTGTGAAAGCATAAGAAAAATTTAATAATGTAGTTACGCTATCCTACACATATTACAATTACGAAAAGAAGCAATTTATTCTTATTTAACTTTTTCTTCTTACAATCCTCTTGGAAAATTTTTTTTCGCAGAATGATCCGCAGTCTGTTCATATGATAATAAAAGGATATCCTGCATTTCTAAATTATCAAAATAACGTAAATCTCATTTGCAAGTTACTAAAAGTTCAGCAATCAATTTGCATTCCATTTTATTCTAATTACTGCAACGAAATAATATTCCTATCTGCGAACATTCTCAACATTTGTAAAACATTTAATTCTTTAACGTAAATACAGTAGTCAAAGAGTTATAGTATACGATAAAATCAACGTCAACAAACACGGTGATATCCTTCAATGATTTTCCATTGAAACCAATGAACATCGTTGTCACTGTTATCAGCAGCTTAACTTCAATGACCACGGAACATGAGATTCGGCTCGGAACAGCGACCGACAAAATGGAGGCAATAAATTATCATCGCAGTACAGTGACAAAGGATATACGATTTCAGGAGACAAATAGAAAAAAAACCGATATAAGTGAATCCACACAACACAGCTGTCATTTCTATAGGATTTTATTAACATTGTTATCTCAATAGCATTAATTACAGTTACCAATTTGCAGTGTAATGTACTAACAAAACAAAAAAAAAGAAAAATATTTAAAAAACAGGATATCACGAGTACATACTTAATTTTCGATTTTTCTTTAGAAAAAGATGACGATGAACGTCTTGCGTCACTTCAATCACAATTTCTACGATTACAGAAGTGCCATGTCGATCGATTACTTAAACAAGGGGGATTATGTTTCTGACGAGTTGATTTAGTCAGCAAATGACACGCGATAATGCGAGATCCGGTGTTAAAACAAGCTACATTGGATAATGGTGTGTTCGAACCTGCGTAATTTACATAACAATTATTACATTGTTTCGACGTCGCAATATCAGCAAATTACTTCATGATTCGCCCGGCACACTTGATTCGAGAGCGATGCAAGTATAAAACTTTGAAATAGTTTTGATCGAACGACCAGCGATTTATGTTATTCGTTTATGGATGTATGCATGTATGTATGTACGTATGTTTATGCATTTAACTACGCATTCTACATGATCTTCGTAAGAAATAGTGTCATTCGCCCGTTTGATATCTTTACGCGCTAAATAAACAATAGTTTTTTTTCAGTTTTCTTCATATCAGGACAAACGATACTCATCTTTCTTCTCTTTCCTCGGTTTCTTCTAATCGTTTCTACAATTCAATCCTACGTGGATCTTACTTATCAAACGACTAACCCATTCTAATTCGTTCCCCGAAAGACACGCGTGCGACGTTCAAATAATCGAATTCAAAAGATTGCAATATCTACCAACGGATGATGCGTCTCTTCCCTCCCATCTCTTTGACCCATCTTCTCCTAGTAATTACATGGGATACGACCGAACAGAGCACTGAGTACATATTACCTCTAATGCTTCACTTACACGCTATTATGTACAGTTTTTTTCTTTTTTTTTACGAATACCAGCACACCATGATCCGCGGTACCCAAACAAGAAGACCGCCAAGTACCATTTCACCGGCACGATGCAATCATGAAAGACGAAAGTACTCTTCGGAACCGGTCGATTGCTTTGCGCGCATGAGAGACAGAGTAGAACAGTAAAAAACAGTTAAAGAAATGAGCAAGAGAAATAGAGAGAGAAAGAGAGAAAGCACGGCGACGTACGGATCGAGAATGAAAGTAGAAGAAAGAGGAGACACGTCTATGCTTCCGAACATACGCTGTACAAAAGATATTTATCATTATCATTATTATTATTATTTTTGTTTTCTAACCAGTTTCACCAACGACAAATCGCACAGATTCTTGTCACAAGCAACGATCCCCATCGTTATTACTCTCTTCACTGTCTTCATTGTAAATACCGATAAATCTGCTCCTCGATGTGTGTACCGTTTATAAAACTGGACATTTGTCAAATAACGGTATAAACTTCTTTCCTTCCTTTGCAAGTTACGAAATATATTTATATTATTATACACGTGACTATTAAATATATTATATATTATGCAGATTATTATGCATATGTATAATATATATTATATTATAATACATGCGTATGTATAATATATATAAGAATTGTGATAGATGATGTCGATCGATTTAAATACGGCGAAGGCCAATGGAAGAAAAGTATCGGTCTCATTACCATATTTCATAGCATTGTACACTGCACGGTATTCTAAAGATGATTAATACTAAGAGAAAGTGAATACAAAAAGAACATGGGTTTGGTATTTTATGCGCGCGATATTATCGTAAAATAATAATATGTTGAATTGAAACGATGATTATGTATACAGAATAGAGTAACGAGAATGATCCACGTCGGTGGCACGAGAGTAAAGATAATAACACGATGACAATTAGAAGTACTAACATCACTGATGGTTTCCGTGTAAATCACTATTCATCTTAAAAAAAAGTTCGATTACTTTAGATTACCCCTTACTTAAATACTTGATAATTCTATATTCACTTTCCATTCATTCATACGACGGCCACAATTATATTTATATAATTTCAGTTTATACTTGTAGTCTGGAGATATACATATGTAGCAATGTATTTTAAATGACAACTAGGACGGGATAGAAATGCTGACAATAATTTACTCAGAAACCAAGGAGGAAACGTTCCCGCAGAAATACGTACTATTCAAAAATCAAAAGATAAGCGTTTACACAAACAAAGCTAATCAACACGAGGGATAAGGGAATCAACTGTTCGCTCCACCTGTTCCCTCACACTTTCCAAATTCTGAGTTACTATTGGCTAAGTTACGCGATGAATAGAAGACGTGATTAGGTGAAGCGGGCGACCGCTTCCTCTTGCTCCCTGATCGATTCCGCTTGCTCCTCGCGTTGATTAGTTTGCGGGTAAGAGACTCGTCTTTTGGTTTTTTAATAGTACATGTCTCTACATATGTACCTGTATACGTAGAGCCGATTCATTCCATTGGCTCCGCGCGGCCTTTTCCACATTGTCGCATACATTACACATATACTAATAAAAGGAAAATTATTTAATTGCATTGTATTTACATTATCGAGATATAAAAATACTAACAAGAAACATACTTATAGATAAGGTTCTCCAAACGATTCATCTCATTAGAAATAAACTAATTTATAATCAAGTTTGGTAGTAATATTGTCCCTATCTATTTGTATTTGTTATTATTGTTTTACAAGATCCTCGACACTTTTCATTTTTTTTTTAATTCACTCTCGATAAAACATACCGTCCGCTAGAACGTCTTACGCTTACGAATTTCCTTACCGCTATTCATTAACTTTAATATCTCTATCCTAAATTCTTTACTACCTGGAAGATTTCCATTGCTCGCTGCACAGGCCTTTGCTGTGGGACAATATAAAAACAAATGTTTCTTTATTCTTTGTTACTCGTACAGCTATCATATACACTGGTCACAGTGACAGCGATGCATTTATAAAAACATGCGACTTCACGCAACATCTATATCACCGCTGAACCTAATCTCTAAAGATGAGCCATAGAAAACACGCGATGCAGTTCATACATCTCACATTCATTAACAAATCTATTAGTAGCTACAATCCTCTCTCTCTCTCTCTCTCTCTCTCTCCTCTTTTTTTTTCTTTTGTATGAAAAACAAGTTTAAATGCATTAATGTCATAGTACGACGAACACAATTGGAGATTCTTCCGAAACTGTTCGACTATTCGTTAATCGATAGCAATGTGTAGAAGTCATCATAGAAATACAAGGTGTATAGGTTCAGCGAGGAATTTTTTTTGCTACACACCCACTGCATTTCGCTGCATTTCACGCTGGCAGAAAATGTTTCAGTGTGTATAAGCCATTTGTCCGCCTCAATCTTAAGGAGACTTTTCATAAAAATAATAATACTTGACGTATTTGTCGTCGCAACGATTTATGTTCTATGCTGCAGAAACGGCTTGCAACATACAACTGCGTACACTGGTATGTGTGTACACATAGTAAGAATATTCAGTATGCACAGAAATACAGAATGATAAAAAAGATTGTTAGAATAGGTAGTACTTACCAAACGAATGAAGAAATTAAACAAGCTTAATCATTGTTCCTCTAACGAAGCCTAATAAAAATGTAACTATGATACGCGTTTAAAACAGATTATGACAACAAAGAAATTGTTTTTCTAATGCGATAAAATATTGGAAATAATCAAGCCATCCGTCTTAACTGAAACGAGAACTTGTTTACCGCTTTGAAAATATTAACTTTCCTACTTATGATGCATATATGAACCATTTTCATTCATTTGGCGAGTATTATCTACACTAGATATTTTGAATTCTTTTTTATCACTCTGCATTATTTCGTAGTCTAGAAATATAATAAATTTTGTAAATGTATCGTACGTGTTAATGTGCACAATCTCACTAGCACTGTTACAGCCCAAATATGTGTCGTGCGTATAAATCTGTGGTTTCTGTAGACAGTCATGTGGAAGAATAGTAGAGCGGTAACTTGCCAAACACGTGGAATTTGTGTCGTTCAGTTATCTTAATACTTGATCTTACAAGTTGCTTTCCTTCAATCTTGTCGGAGTATTGAGTACATGGTTTTTCTTCACCATTTTCAATGATCTTCCAAATGACCAACTCGACGATTAACATTCAACTTCTTGTAAAGGCAGTTACTCTATTTCAATAACCAAATAACTCAAGTAACTTCATGTTGGGACAACGTTACACAGCTCACAGTATCGCATCTTTCCAATCTGTTCTGTTCTAGAACATTTCCTATTGTATTTAAACTGAATTGCAGATTTTTCCCTGTTTTAAACTGAGCATGAAGGTTCCTAACATTCAAAATGTCTTTTATCTTATTACTAAAGGTATTGGAAAATAATGAAATTGATTTTTTTCTTTTTGACTTTGATGGAACATATACTCCAAAGCTTCGTCAACAATGTTTCTTTGACTCTTACTATGTATATGAATTTCTTCATTCTTCAATGAAGAAATACAGTGGCGGACAAAAGGAGGTTTTAAATTGGCATCTTTACGTCAGTACTAACAATAACACTCGTACTTAAATATTTTATATCGTTTTGGTAACACTCATCTACCCTGGGTTGTCTTCTCATTATATTTTTCTGTTGATAAAACTGGTTTTGTTTCTGGTATGTAAACAATCCATTTTATACGACGCATAGAGTGGACAAAAATATGTTTAAAATCTTTAGTTTCATAAATGAGTAAAAATACTAAAAAATTTATGAATATTAAATAGCTAGTAGTTTGAAATGGTAAAAGATTTAAATAAAATTGGAAATCAATTTGACGAACTAAGGAGAACTTCATCAAGAAACGATAAGATGATGACTCATGAACAAGAAAATATAAAAAAATAGCGAGAAGGAGATTGAAGAAAAATGAAATTAAAAAATAATACAACGAAAGAAATTATTCGCTAAAAAATCATAAAAACGTTCACCGTTTGTTAACCATTATCGTCACAGTTGCTGCAATCGTAAGTCTTTGGAACATTTTGTTACAGTAGACAGTAAAGAAAAAAATAAAATATTAACAATAATATATGTCTAAACATAAGAGTATATAATCACAGAAACTAGTAATTAAACTTACTTTTGTCCAACTAATTTCTTCACATGTTTAAATGTTTTAAATAAAACATATACTTTCTTATTCCTATGTATGTTTTCCTTGTTTTTATAGCGCCATATCATGTATATATTTATGAAAAATTCATTGCTGTTGTAAAATATAATCCCTTTTTGTAAAATTATGGTACGCTTTAAAAACGCTTATCTTTTAAATTTTCCTTTGCCACCACTGTCTGTTTCTTAACAGCTCAATCAATGTGATTCCATCGAAAAAGGCGTACCACTAATATTGTTTTACTATACTTTTTATCCTGCACAGCTTTAGTTACTCTTTTTCACTTTTCATTTTTTTCATCTTGTTGATTAGTTTCTCTTCAATTACTGCTACAGTTATGACATCATCCTTGGAATATTTTTTTCTCATTGAGGAGAGTTTCCTTTGTAAGCTACAGAAGTATAAATCGTCTAAAGAGGCAGAAGATGATTCTTCATCATAGAGAAGGACAGGTGTCTTCTCCCCTGAGGGAGGCGATTGCAAGACAAGTTTTTCAGTCTGTGAGTTTGTTGAACTGGAACTGGATGTGTTTGAATTATTAGGAGTATTGCGCCCCTGACTATCCACATGCATATGTCCTCCCTGCCCCCCCTGACCCTGGGAGAGGCTTAGCCGCCGTCAGTTCACCAATTCTACACTCACCAATTGCTTCAATCGTTCCACATATTGTTCAAATAAATCCACATTATTGTGGCCTGCACCCTAGAAAGATAATTTGTGTTTATATTAACAACTTTATTTACGTTTTACAATTAACACACAGAAATGCATACCGGAATCCATAATGGTTCTACAGTTCTTGGACATCTTTCATAAATGGCCACACCGTGACTGAAATTTATCACTTCATCTTCAGTTCCATGGATGACCAATACTGGAGACGTAACTTTGGGTATTTTATCTATACTGTAAAAGATATTTTATATTTTATATGTACATATATAAAAGGATGTAAAGTTTTAATAGCATGTGTGTAATAAAATCATTGATGATTTAGTTTTACTCACAATAAATGTATCAATTTAATAATATGTAATATCAATAATTAAAATTTATAATTGCAACTTGAAAAATATTAAACACATTTCTTTCTTATAAAAATACATATCGTAATGTGTATAATAAACTATTTTCTTACTTTCTAAACTATCTCCGTTTGTAATTATCTGAGCTTTCTGTTTTAATTCAATCTAGTACTTCCTATATGAAATAAATCCGTAATCCGTAAATTTTTAAACTAAATAAACTTAAAAGACCATATACAGCATCACAGACTATAGATATTGGTCACTATATGTAGTATAAACCTAATGCCTTCTAAGGAAGAATACGACGATGTGTGTAATTTAAAGGTTTCCATGAGAAGTATTTAGATTAACTTTTATTGCTTCTCATAATATAATTAGAAAAACATGAGTATAGTCCGAAAAGATAACTTTTGAATCTAAACTCAAACTTGC